TAAAATATATAAACCAGATACCATCATACTTTTACACTGTAAAATAAATTAACAAAAATCAACAGAGAATAATGTCTGATTCGGGCTCCATTAGCAATCCGTAATTAATTATGTACATCTATTTAATTTGTACAAAAGACCATATTATTATTTATTCAAACTTCAAATCTATGATAGGAAATAGGATGAGCGGTCCTTACTTGATTTGACGCTGAAAAGCTAAATTATTTACTGCGTCTGCGGGCAATTACTGGGTTCCCTGAATTTTTCTTCGGGAACTGAAACGCGTTTACGATATCTACAAATGTCCCAAATAAACTCAAAAATCAGTCTCAGGACCTACTCGGCCAATTTCGAAAATCTGGCACGGTGGCTCCGCTGTGCTCCGACGATGACGTCGCCGGTCCGTCTCAGGTCGACCGTTTTCGGCTGAATTCAGTCGATTTTACATCGATTCCTGTAGGCACATACGCTAAAGGGTCTCGGTGGGCTAAAAAAATACGAAAAATTGAAACTCACCGGCGGCGGGACTCTCCGGTACGGCGACTCCTCCGGCTCATGTTGTGGTTGGGTGTTTCGCTTCGGTCAACCTGTAGAGAAGAAAACGGTGATCACAGCGGTGGAAAAATTACACGAAACGGGAATTGAAAAGGGTCTCATTGGAGGCGGTTTGTGAAATTCCTTGCGGCAGAGCCACTGGGCTTCAGCGGTGTTTTTAGGCCAATTAATCTGTTCTTTCACTCTGATTTGAGCATGGGTGGGTTTAAAATTGAATTTCGTGCAAAAGGAAAAATGTTTACCTTTTTTGGTGGTCGAAAAAAGTTCTGGTGCGCCTCTGCCACTTGGCGCGTCCTGGTTGGTCAGGACTGCTGACCGGGCGTCTGCCGTGGCATAATTTTTCTAAATTATGTTTTGACCCTCCGATTTTCAATTTTTCTTTCAAAAATACCCTAAAAACTTTTTACCCTTTTTTCTCAAAATTATTTTCAATTTAATCTTTAAAATTTTTTACCTTTTTTTCCATTAAATTAAAATAAAATAAATTAAATAAATAAATAATTATATTATAAAAATAAAAAAAATAATGTTGGGTGTTACATAACAAGTCAGCTGCCAAATTCATTTATTTGTTAGTCTCTCAAAACTAATTCACTCTGTTTGTTATCCTCTTAATAAGAAATTATAACAAGGTTTGACTTTTAAAAACTTTATATAGAACAAGTTAATTGCTAAATTTGTTCATGTGTGAGTTTTAAAATTTTACCTAAGCCTCTCATATATTGATTTCTTGTAATAATTATTTATTTTTGATTGAGTTATATGCTACGTATCAAAAATATATTTTCAAACTTCAAATCTACAATCTTTAATCCCAACATCTCCCACGAAGTATTTTTAAATGTAACTACTTATTTGATATGATTATTTTTCCTCAGCATCTTATAATTGTAATTTATTTCTCATATTTCAGTTTTTGAACCTTTGATATGAGTGAACTTCCTCTAATAGTCTATCATTGCATTGCATCTTATATATCTTTCACTTTTATTGTGACATTAACTTTATCTTTGTTGCCTCTTCACTTAAATCGAATATTGAGTTTATACACAAAATCACATAATTTTTCAAACTCTCGTGCCTTGCGTGTCATACTTGCGCGTGGTGGATATTGTGTTAATTTCGAAACATGTTATAACATTTGATATAATCCTTATTTTCACATAATTAAAAGGAATCATTAACAAAATTTCTTTAAGATAATAATTTTTTTTTGGGTATGAGAATATTGCAATTATCCAATTTGCACCAAATTATAATTAAAAGAGAATTTTGTATAAAGTAAATATAACCAACCCCAAAGGCGGAGGGAGTTTAAGGAGTGGGGCCCAGCAGAATGTCGTTAAGCCCAGTACAACAACTTTACGCCAATAGACAAGGTGGTGGGCCCCTTGATTTCTTTGGGAAAGGGAAACTACACTACTTACGCCATTTTGTGGGCTTGTGGGTCCCACTCCTCTCTCTCTTTTTTTTTTTTTTTTTTTCTTTTTTACTTCTAATCATAATTATGATTAAAGATTTGCAACTTGCGCTGATTAATTTCTCGCTAATCCTAAATTTAAAGCTGCTTTAACGAATTTATTCCAAATTTAATAGATTTATTTAGAAAAAAGAGATTCTTAATCAACTCTTAATTAATTAGAAACCTTGAGATTATGATTTGTTATTTATTTAATATTTTGATCTAATTACAAATAATAATTTTCTTACAATCTCTTTTGAATTTTTTAATTGCCAATAATTTAGGGTTAGTTGAGGATTGGAAATGCTGCTATCAAATTAAGTAATAAAAAATATTTATTTAACATTTTTTAATCTGAAATCGATTTTTCTTAAGAATATTAATAAACGAAAAATAAGCATGTAATTACAAAATTCAATTAATTATTTTAATTTTGTCTTTTTTTCGCTGTTCTTGAACAATCTCTTTTGCGTGTCCAATCCTTCTTAATTTTTTCCCTTTCTATTTTCTTCCCCATAATGTACATATACATACATACATATATATATATAATGGACGTTTCTATTAGTGTTAATTATTTCCAAATTCATTAATTTGGATATTTTTTATTTTGATTCACCATTTAGGCTACACAATCAAAGTGGGTCTTCTTCACACACACACATATATATATATATATGTGTGTGTGTATTTGTCTCTCTCTCTCTCTCTCTATATATATATATATGTATATTTATTTATGGACCAAAATTCATGAAGTAACTTCAAAGAAAGAAAAGATCAACACGCAATCCCTTCTAATTTTAATCATATGCAAGAAGATAGTTTTATCTAACTAAAAAATGATTTTCTAATAATATCAGTGTATATGATATTATCAAATAAATATGAGATTATGGTAAAAATGTAATTTACAATTAGAAATATATAAGGAGGATTAATTAATTAACATATAATTAACATTTCTTATAGGAGAATGTTTAAATCTGTGTGATTGTACGAAATTAATTTTTTGCCGGGAATATTCTGATTTTATTATTACAATTTTTCCTTAAAAAATTATAAAACAATATATTTATATGTATACAGATATAAATATACATAGAAGAAAACAGCTGTAGAGAGCTAAAGTCTAAATCATGTGATAAATTGACGTACCAAATTATGATTATACACCATAAAGATCATGATTAATACACTCGTGACATCCAAAATTAATATAGAAATTAATCAACGTTAATTCAGAAAGAAAAAAAAAAAAAAAAAAAAAAAGAGAGTATATATACAGTGAACCATGTGCAAAATTGACGGCCGTCACAATTATATACTATTAGCGCACCCCGTGACATGCTGTATATATCGATACAAATATTATCTGTGCTTATAAATTATTGGTTATTAAATATTATTTTGTGGGTTATATTTACAGTTTGATTTTCTCAAGTAATTAATTATAAGAGAAAATCAACAACAAAATAGTATATCAATTATAAGTTATGCCGACTTAATTATTATATGAAGTAAATTTAATGGTAATAATGTACAATTATAGAATGATTTATTCGATTTTAGAGATAATTTTTTTTTATTTATATTACAACAAATTTCATGGGAAAAATATTAATTTTTCCGTCATACATGATGTAAAAAATCATGTTGAAAATATATTAAAAAATAAAATAATTTTTTTTAAAAAATAAACTAATTGACAAAGAAGAAAATGGTGAGTAATGCAAAAAAAAAAAAAAACAAAGGCATGAGAGAGCTTATAAGAATCCTTCCAAGATCTCCCTCCTCCCTATGGTCAGAAAACATGAAATATCAGTCTCGCTCTCCTTCCATGTGAACCCACCAACCAACCCTTCTCTCTCTCTCTCTCTCTTGCGGTACCTACACACACACACTCATACATACATACATATATATATATAGATACGGGAAGTATGAAGTGGGTTTTTGCAGTAGTGTTGGTGGTGGTAAGCCAAAGTCTGGTGATATGTTCGTGGGGAATTAAAGATCATGAGAAGCAGCAGAGTAGAGTTCTGAGAGGAAGAAAACAAGGGAATGTCTGCAATTTGTTTGAAGGAAAATGGGTGGTGGATAATTCTTATCCTCTCTATGATTCATCTTCTTGTCCATTCATTGACCCCGAGTTTGATTGTCAGAAATATGGTAGACCTGATTCACAGTACCTCAAGTACTCTTGGCAACCTCTCTCCTGTAACTTACCCAGGTATGTATTTACGCATATATGTACATACATATATATATATAGAGGTATCTCTACTTCCTTCTCCTCTCTTGAATTGAATTCTCAAGTTTCCAGCTCATTGAGTCTGAAATTGTGTTGTATTGTAGGTTTGATGGGGTGGATTTTTTGAAGAGATGGGGAGGGAAAAAGATTATGTTTGTGGGTGACTCACTGAGTTTGAACATGTGGGAATCGCTCGCCTGTATGATTTACTCTTCACTTTCAAATGCCAAGACCACTATTCTTAGGAGGACCCCACTCTCCTATGTCACTTTTCAGGTTACTTTCTTTTTTTCTTTTTTCTTTTTTATAAATAATATCAGAAATTTAATTATTACCCACATAAAAATTATATATATTAATTTTAACGACCATATAATAAATAAAAAATTAATTAAACTGCTAATCATTTTTTTTTACTTAATATAATTAATACATGACTCGACAACACAACATTCGTCTCACCTTTTTTTTTTTTTTTCCCACTCAAATAATTTTATTTAATAATTTCCATAAATCATCTTTATATATTTAATTGTGTGGTTATTATCCTCTTAGTATTAAATTCCAAAAAAATTGTTATCAATTTCCCTCTTTTAAAAAAATAGGGAAATTAAAATTTAAGGTTCATAAATTATTTTTATTAAAAATAAATAAAAAAGTTGACTCGCGGCAACCAAAAGTCAAAAAAAAATACGGTTGTCTACAACAAAAAAAAAACCACAAACAGCTGTGGAGAGCAACCTGCCAAGCTGTTATGGTCGTGACTCTCAGTTTATTTCTTTATAATTATTTTTAGCACCCTTCTCACGTATTCCACTTTCTTCTTTATATAATTTTAATATATTCAAATAATTGAATTTTCAGCTCCATATAATTTTAGGCTTCAACTTTTTGCTTATTTCAGTCTCTATCTTGATCCCCAGTCTTACATCTATGAAATTATTGACTATGTTTTAATATTAAAATATTGTTCTCATAAATTTAAAATCAAATTGAAATATGCAGAATTAAAGACTGAATTTTCTAAACATTTGGGTTAAATTTTTTAATTTACTAATTTGAATCAAATCATGTATTATGTTGTTTATAATTAGTATATATATAAATGCAGGACTATGATGTAACTTTATATTTATACCGTACACCGTATTTGGTGGATATATCTAAAGAAAATGTTGGACGAGTACTGAATTTGGGCTTAGTTGATGGTGGTGGCGATGCATGGAAAGGAATGGACGTACTAATCTTCAATTCATGGCATTGGTGGTTACACAAGGGATCAAAATCTCAAGGGTAATACTAAAATCTTTTTCTCTCAATTATTTTTATTATATATAATGTTAGAAAGTAAAATTCAAATTTAAATTATCAGTTTCATCGTATTATATGAATTATATATTTATGATCGTTTTCATCTATTTTTATACACAATTATAAATAAAAAAATTATTTGATAATCCAGGTGGGATTACATTAGAGATGGAGCAACGTTGAAGACAGATATGAACAGGTTAGAAGCATTTTACAAAGGATTGATCACGTGGAGTAATTGGGTTGATCTCAATGTCGACACTACCAAAACCAAAGTTTTCTTTCAAGGGATTTCTCCCACTCATTATGAGTAAGTACAAATAAATCTCTTCTTATTTTGATTATTAAGTAATTCAAGAGCATAGATGAGTTAATGTATTTTCTCGTGAAATATCTTATAACAACTATGAAAAATAACAACAAGATTAATGATTGAAAACAGGGGCAGAGATTGGAATCAGCCGAGGAAGAATTGTTATGGAGAAATGCAGCCAATGTATGGATCCACATATCCAGCCGGTGCACCTCCCGCAACTGTTATTGTCAACAAAGTTTTGGGAAGTATGAAGAAACAAGTATATTTACTTGACATAACAACACTCTCTCAATTAAGAAAAGATGCTCACCCATCTGCTTATGGAGGCGATGGCGGTAACGACTGCAGCCACTGGTGCCTCCCTGGTTTGCCTGATACTTGGAACCAACTCTTGTATGCACTTCTTATTATGTGAACAACAAAAATTATTTCTCACACAATTCATCATTTACTCTTGTAGATGATAATAAAAGAGGCAAAAAAATTCAATTGTAAAGGGAATTGCTTTTTCTTTAAAGAAAAGAATAATTGCTTTTCAACATGTTCAAACATAGGAATAACTAGTTATATTGTGATATTATCTCAATCTCAAAAAAGGGTCAACTAAAAATCATCAAGGGTAGTCTTGTATTTAATTACAGAGTTGTTGTATTGAAGGCATAGTTATAAACTCCATTTTTTTTTTATCTCTATGGCCTCCATATTTGTACTTCTAAAATTTAAATATATATTACCATGAGCTCAAGAATATGGTTATTAGTTCGTTTTTATCTTTATAAAAGCTCTTTAGGCCATGGGTTCCAAAAAAAAAAAAATTACTTTTACTTTTTGTTATAAAATTTTATATTTAATGTATTGAAAAGTAAATTTTGGATTTATTCATTAAAATAGAAATAATGTACATAAAAGAATCTTTTAACACTCGAATACAATTAGAAGAATCTTATGTGATAAGATCACATAGAGAGATAAATGTTTCCTACAGTATGCAAGATATTTCTAAAAATTTCTCTCTAAAATATCAATTTTACTTCTCTCTCTCTCTCTCTCTCTAATATGATTGAGGTCGCCAACAATGTTCTTGTAGAAAAACTAGAAAAATCTCCTGATATGATTTGAGGTCAAGCATTTCCCTTGTGCCTTCAACCATCATACTTCAGCAGCTCTTTATGTGATCCAATTTTTGGCCAAGGATTCAAGGCGTGGTTTGGTGCTCTAGGTGCAACATCTAAGATTTCAGTTGGTGACTCCTTGAGCCAACTGAAACGGATCTCCAAATTCACAAACATGGTCTTCGCAAAGACTTGTAGCTTGTGAACCAGAACCTCAACATGGTTTTCTCGAGAAGTAGTTTGTGATATGTGAAACTGGCCAATTGAAGCTTGAGTCTACTTCGAGATGAAATAACTTAGGAGGAAAAGAGGTGTCCAGGAAAGAAAAATAGCAAACGTTTAAAAGATTAAAGGATTTCTGGATTCTTAAATCTGTTTGGCTTAAAAGCAAGTGAGGAAAGAAAAAATAAAGGTAAATTATCAAATTAGTGCATGAAGTTCTAACTTATGATATCTGATCCCTAAACAGGGATCAGTGGCGAGTTTGGAAACCCGGGATTCCTAGATAACTGGCTGGTCATGCCCAGACCAAGGGGAGAGTGCTTGTTTGATACACGAATAAATTGCACCCAGATTTTCAATGTTTTGTTTGAACTCAATTTGAAGGATCGATTATGAATCACAAAAATCTTAGAAATCCTCAGTTCCTCATAAAAATTCAGTCAATTCAAAAGGCCGTCGGAAATAAAGAATGTAGGAAAACATAGATTAGAGAGAACTTGTTATGCGTAATAAAGAATCAACAAAGATGAAGGTCACAGGAATTAACTGTTTCATGGAAGAATATATTTAGATTAGAAGTATTTGCTATACATGGATCACAAAATGGACATCAGGAACAAACACCTACCTTGGAAACTCAAGGAAAAACAAGGATGATAGGAAACTAGTAACCAACATATACTGCAGCATTGACTACGTAACAGTCATCATTTTTGTCTCCCATTTCTTCCACATACACACCACTTGAGCAAATCAGTCCTCCATCCACAACTTCAACATTGAGAATCTTCCCACTGCAACAATTGGAAAAGGGAAGAAGAAAAAAGGAAATAACCTATAGAATGTAAAACTGTTCACAAGGATTAAAGCAAATCAAGTAGATTTTATCTATGTATCGTGCCAATGACATAAAAAATAATGCAGAATATAATACAATTACCAAAAGATGTTAAATACAGGTTTCACTTATTAGCATGCTGAATATTCATGGATACAAGGCTACAAGAGTTTGTATTGCTGTTGGTCGGGAAAATTGTAGAAGTCTATTTTCCACAACAAATTTATTAGTCCAGGCTGGTAATATACTAAAGGCACTGTCACATTCAAAATTATTATCACCAAACTTGCTAGTTGGAAGAGGAATTTTTTATCGAAGGGAGGCTTACCCTTATGAAAAGCACTATGGACAATTTACCTATTTACTACTTATCTACTCTTACGTCCCAGTTTGTGTTGCAAAAAAATTGGAAGCCATTCAAAACAGGTTTCTTTGGGGTGATGATGAAGAGAATCAGAATTTTCACTTAGTTAAATGGAAGGAGGTCAAAAAGCACCCCAGGCATGGTGGGTTGGGAATCAGGTCCATGGTTGAATTGAATGTGGCCTTACATAGCAAATTGTTGTGGAGATTTTGTATGAAGGAAGACAGATTATGGAGGAAGATTGTTACGGTTAGATGGGGTGACCTGAACTGGGATAACAGAGATGGAAAGAGATCTAGGAAGCAGCATGGCAAGAGTTTATAGAAAAAAATTTTAACGCAGTGGCCTCGCTTCTAGAACAATCCTCCGTGGAAAATTGGTAGGGGAAACAGAATAAAATTATGAAGAGATGTTTGGATCGGAAATAAAAGCTTGATGAGCAGATTTCCCAGAATGTTTGCTATTGTACAGACAAAAAATATGCTTGTTAAGGATGCTTACAGAATCAGCAATGGCTGTGTTGATTGGTGGATAATCCATCAAGAAACTTACAAAATTGGGAAGTCAGAGAGTACGAAAATTTGCTGCAGACGCTTGCTTCACAGCAGGTGAATCTTGAGGAGGATAGGATTGTTTGGAATCTGGAAAAAAGCGGTAGATTTTCAGTTAAGTCGTATTACAGTCACTTAACCAGAACAGATCATGTACGACTTCTAAATTTCCTTGCGAGGCAGATATGGAAAGCTAAAGTGTTACCAAGAATTGGGTTTTTTTGCATGGGAAGCTTGCAGGAAGTGTATATTGACTATCGACAAATGCTATATGTGTATGAAAGCAGAAGAATCGAGTAACCATGTTTTGCTGTGGTGTCCTGTGGCTTTTGAGCTTTGGAGTCTTATTTATAACCTTCTTGGTATCAACTAGGTTATGCCAGGGTCTGTTAGGGAGGAATTATGGACTTGGGATGGAGTGCATTTAGATAGGAAATTGACTAAATTGATTCCATCAACCATTTTTTTGGGTTTTTTGGAAAGAGAAAAATTCTAGAGCTTTTGAGGGTAAAGAGGTAGAATTGTATAGATTGAGAGATAGATGGATGCATTATTTTGAGTTTATTTTGTTAGAATATGACATTATTAGTGATGAGAATTTTAAGAATGTCATTGACACACTAACGACCTTGTAAAGCTTTTGTAATGGGTGGTACCCCCTGTTTTTCGGTACCTTGTTAATATATACTCTTTACACTTTTTATTTCAAATATATATATATTTCAGAGTGGACTTATTGTTTGTCAAAGACAACAGATGGTCCTTATGCAAATTACTTAATCATAGTCCACGGACATAAAAAGAAATAGACATCATACTAAAAGTTGCAACAAGAATAAGTACTGCAGTGATGTCTGTAAGATCCTGTTTTTAACAACCACCATTTGAGGAAAAAAAAGAAGAGATAAAAATCACCCCAGATACAAACTGAGGATGGATTCAGTTTTCATGCATAGCCTACCATAACCAACTATTCAATAGGCGTGGACACTCACTAAGGAAAGACAGACTTGATTCTTTCAATATCCAACGAGTGCTGGAGAGAATTAGGGACTCCAAGCTTGATGTGCAGTTTCATTTGTTCAAATGTAACGCCAGGTATGGAACCTGCAGAGTTCGATCTTATGATAAGACTGATGAAGCAATTTTCATCACAAGTACATTAAAGGTATCCCCAGATAGCTACCAGCATCCCCCACAAGATAGTTTCAAAACCAATAAAGTCTTTATAATAAGCAAGTTAAAACTGATACCCTAGTTTTAGTATCTTTCAATGAACTATATGGTAGAAGTGAGTATTTTCTTACATTGAAATGCCTTTCAAAGGGAGAGCTTTATTTGTCATTGGTTAGTTTAAATGAGATCGTGTAGCATAGAAAGCATTAACCTCAGGTTTGTTTACACGTAATATTCATAAAATTTGAAGAATACTGAGATTGGATTGGCTCTAGAATACAGAGACCTCCATTAAAAAAAATGATTTTAACATTGAGATGAAAACATTCATTATAATCTCTAATGAACTGTATCACTCTCATTGCCCATGTCGAATCAAAAAAAAAAAAGAAAAAAGAAAAAAGAAGCAAAGAGAAATTCAAACCTCTCCTGAATGCAGGAATTGAATTGGACGAGATAGCGTCCCTGCAAGCCCGCATCGCTGCAGCTGTAACATCTTGCCTGTTTTGTAGCTAACACAATTTATATTCGTATCATCACCTCGTAATTCAACTAAACCAAACAAAGAGAGAGAGGAAATTCCTAACACGAATGAATCAAAACGCAGAAAGGAAAGACCTAATAGGCAAGGAACAGAATACGCACCCATGTTGATCATAACCAACTCCCATCTCGACGAACAAGAGCTTCATCGTCGAGTTGGGATCCTGACTGGTGGTTATGCTCCCAACCTGGTCGGTTTCCATGGCTTCGGTTGCGGCGCTGATTGGGCGGAGAAAACGAGGGGATTGGAGGATAGGAAATATGTTGCCGGTGAGAGAAACGAGCGGGTGCCGATAGTTCGGATGGTTAGTTTTGAGGGTGCAGTGACAGAGAGAGCGAAAGTCAGTGGAAGATGGAAATGTCGGATTTGGGGCCAAGTAAGCGATCGTATTCATCCTCTTCTTCTGCTCAGTAAGCACTGAATGGAAGATGGATGCCTTTTTTTTTTACCCCCCTTTTTCTCCTGTTTTCTTTATTAATCTTTAATTCGGATATCTATATATATATATACTGTACAAATTATTATCTTGATCCCTAGTGAGCTCTAAAGAGTTATTGAAATGGTATGAAAAAATCCCTAAGAATTTGTATAGTATTCGAGAGAGAGAGTACAAATGAAAGATGAATTTTATATTTTGACAAATAGACTGTCAAGCTTTGATAAACAAATTTGAAGGGAACACGAGTGAGAGGTAAACTTGACGTCTTGATAAAAAATACATGCAGTGCTGGTTGGAAAGAATACGAATGGTTGGTGATTTGAACACTATTTGTTAAAAAAAGATTTGTACTCTCTTTGTTTTTCTTTTTTTACTTTGATTTTGTTGCTCGTCATCACTGGATTAATTGGAACGAGAAACCAATAGCTGACTCTGTGGGTGGTCGGGGTTGATGAAGACAAAGTGGATTTTTATATGGGCTTGGGCTAGTCTGGGTTAAACATTAGATTCAAATGGGTTCAGTTCGGCTTAAACGGATCAGGCCCAAAAAGGGTTGGATTTCAAGTGAACCATAAACATACATGGATCGTTACTCAAGTGTTTGGTGTTTTATAAAAATATTAATTGTTAGTTTCTTTTAATTTAAAAATTATTTTTCTTGTATTATAATTAATATATATTATGTAAACAACTTTTGCGTTTTAACTTTAGTGGTACAAATTTCCAAATGTGTGCCAAAGCTTGCTTATATGGGTTCAATCCCCAATTATGACAGGACAACAGCCCTCAATAAAGACTCTAAGATTTAGTCATGTCATCAAGTATTTGTTCGCTTATATATGTATAGCAAAACATTAGCAATATCTAAGCTTCCCGTGATGCTTGATTTATAAGTCTAAAACTTAGCTTATTTGTGTTTGATGTGATGATGATGATGATTAAATTAATAATTATATCAATAATCATGATGTTTTTTAGTGGAAAAAATATATATATTTTGTGTAGTAGAAATTAAAAAAAAAATAAAAAAAAAAATCTGGACTTTATTTTTTTATTTCTGAAAAAAGTATTCATTATATGTATATATTTTATACGTGTCTCCTGAATAAATATCTCCAATTATAAAATAGTCATCTGAAACAGACAAAAGGTTAAGACCCGGCTGCCTGTTAAAAAGTTACCTAGTGACCGCACTATTTTCGGAGTTCATAGATTTAACCGCAGTAACTTTAATTGGTAAAATTTTTCAAATTTAATATCACGAGTTTATTTATTTATTTTTTGACCGTTCCTCGGTGTCTGTGCCCCACTTTCTTTGTGTCAGAGCTTGCACTCGTTTCCCCCTGCCCTCTCTCAACGGTCTTTCTACTTTTTCTCTCTCAAATTTCTCAAGAAAATTAGAAAGAAAAAAGGAATAAGAAAACTCTTTCTGCAAACCACGCAGACAAGGACTTTGTCGTTTGGTTGTTCAAATCTTTTGGAGATTAAAAACAAGAGGACTGGAGAAAACCCAACTTGATCAATCAGGGAGAAGGAGAGAGATTAAGCTATCTCATCAATGGTAGCTGGCAAGGTAAGACTGGCAATGGGGTTACAGAGATCGCCGGCGAAAAGGAAGCAGGAGACCCCACCTAAGCCGCCGCCATTGCCGTCTCCGGCTAGCTCGACCAAGTCTGGGTCGTCGCAGAAGCCAGTTTTCTCCCGCTCTTTTGGGGTTTACTTCCCACGAGCCTCCGCTCAGGTTCAGCCTCGCCCACCTGATAACGTCGCGGAACTTCTGCGCCTGGTCGAGGAGCTTCGCGAGAGAGAGTCTCGTCTAAAGACCGAGCTTCTTGGGCACAAGCTTTTGAAAGAATCCGTCTCTATTATCCCCTCTCTCGAAGCCGAGATAGCCGTCAAGAACGCAGACCTCAAGCTTTCACTCGACAAGGTTGAGTTCTTGGAAGGTGAGAACGAGAGATTAAGAAGAGAGCTCGATGAGTTTAAGAAAAAGATTGAAGAAGAGAGAGTGGAGAACGAAAAGAAAGTGAAAGATATCGAAACTGAGATCGCCGAGCTTAAGAAAACGACGTCGTCTCGTGGCGGCAGTAGCATTGAGAGCGAGGAATGTAACTTGCTTTCTTCCTCGCAGAGGTTTCAGGGTTTAATGGAGGTAACTGTGAAATCCAATCTGATCAAGAACTTGAAACGAACCGGGTCCTCCAAGTCTGTCGACGCCGGCCCGAATTTTGATAACACGAACAAGAATAATGAAGGCATTATTAATGCTGGTAGTAATGGTAACGATTTCAAGAGAGAGGAAATAGAAAATGAGAAACCCAGGCACTCGAGGAGTAACTCGGAGGAACTCGCTGAGTCGACTCTTTCCAACCTCAGATCTCGTGCACCTCGGGTCCCAAAACCACCTCCCAAACCATCATCATCGGCATTATTATCTTCATCCTCGTCTGCAGGGAGTTCATGTACGTCAAAATCAATCTCATCAACGCCAAATGACGGTTCTTGTGAGTCCACGGAAAAGCCCATTCCGCCGCCTCCTCCACCGCCGAATCCGCCACAGGCAAGAGCCGCTCCGCCACCTCCGCCTCCTCCCCCGAAGGGAACAAGAGCTGCGGGGGCGAAGGTGAGAAGGGTGCCGGAGGTGGTGGAGTTCTACCATTCATTGATGAGGAGGGACTCCCGGAGAGATTCAGGAACGAGCGGGGCGGAGGCTTTACCGGCAACGGCGAACGCCCGTGACATGATCGGGGAAATTGAGAACCGATCGGCTCATTTGCTCGCTGTAAGTAAGGGTTTCCGGTTGGTTATTTTATTTAATTAGGGAATTGGCACCAGTGGCTTTTTGTGTCAGTGACAAGTGACTGGTCCTACTGTGTCTTTATTGTTTTTCTTTGGATTTTATCTGCATCTGGCAAGATGAGACACTGTCTGGATTCGATTTTTTTCAAAAGTTTTTTTTTTCCTTTAAAAAAAAGAAAATAAAAGTGTAATTTAGTTGAATGTTAGTGGCAATTTGGAAAGATTCAAGATCAAGTTTAGAAGTCAACTTCATTGAATTTAAATCAAAAGGATACATGTATATATGATTGATGAGAAGTCAAGTATAGTAAAGTCTGGTAATTTATGGTGAATTATGATTCAAAATGTTCATTTTTTTCTTTTTTGTTCTCTCTGGTTTGACAGATAAAAACAGATGTGGAAACACAAGGGGATTTTATAAAATTCTTGATCAATGAAGTGGAGAATGCTGCTTTTACAGCTATTGAAGATGTAGTGCCTTTTGTAAAATGGCTGGATGATGAACTCTCCTATCTGGTATCTGATCCATTTTTTTCGTTTCTAATAGAAATCAATCTCCTAAAATATTATGTTCAATCTAATTACGATCAATACCTCATTATTTGTTGTTTTAGGTGGATGAAAGGGCAGTGCTTAAGCACTTTGAATGGCCGGAACAGAAGGCCGATGCACTGCGTGAAGCTGCTTTCAGCTATTGTGACCTCAAGAAGCTTGAATCAGAGGCCTCTTCCTTCCGTGATGACACTCGCCAGCCTTGTGCTCCAGCTCTTAAGAAGATGCAAGCTCTGCTTGAAAAGTATATACATTTGTTCTCTTCACTGAGAATTTTGGACGGGGACTGTTTCAAACTCTAATTTTCGTGTCTTGATGAATAACAGGTTAGAGCATGGTGTTTATAACCTGTCAAGAATGAGAGAATCAGCAGCTAAGAGATACAAAGGTTTCCAAATTCCTATGGATTGGATGCTGGAAACTGGAATTGTAAGCCAGGTAAATCAACATGATTGATAAGAGATTGTAGATTTGAGTGAGGATGTGGTCTCGAGTAAGTCGCTAAGTTGATTGTGTTATTATCTTCATGAAAATGGTATAAAATTATTGAAATTTACGAACATTCGTGCAAAAAATTACAATTATATTAAAACCCAGTTTTAAGCATGCATGATTTGTTTAATTGGTTATAGAATTTAGGTGGTCCTCCCTTATATTTAGCTTTTGGCACTGTCTGCTACTCATTATTATAATGTGTAGGAGTAGAAAGTATAAGATGACAAAAGAGAACGGTTAATTTCTTAGGTGTAGCGCTTTAAGTGCACATGTGAACTTCCAGATCTATCAATATTGCATTTGCTTGTCTTCTTCCTTTTTAACTTTGGGATTCATGAGAATCTGATTCTCTGAGTTGACTATCATTTCTACATGCTCACACTGTTACACCCTTTTTTATTGATCCTCCATTATTTAATTGTATATCATCACCAGAAATATGCTAATATGTAGTATACTTTAAGGTTCTTGCTTGAGGGGACACGATTAGATCATAGATTTTCATTACGAAACAAATTTGATTGATATATGTTGCCAGAACTACTAATGTTGCTCCTAATTTTGTTGAGTCATAAAATATATAGCGTTGCTCATGACAAGTCACTAAATTCGTGATTTTTGCTCGGGTCGTGTTTTGTTATCACAATAATTCTTCTGTCAGGCTAATCATACTCTTGGCTCATATTTTTTTTGACTTGTTCTGATAAGTATGCGTGGAATTATAGATCAAACTAGCATCTGTCAAGTTGGCAATGAAGTACATGAAGAGAGTATCCGCAGAGCTTGAAACAGTAGGGGGTAGTGGTCCCGAAGAAGAAGAGTTAATAGTACAAGGCGTTAGATTTGCTTTCCGCGTCCATCAGGTAATAATCGCCGATTAACTTTCTTTAAAAGTGAAATTAAATTTGATTCCAACGTGTTGATAGAAATTTAACTTCTTAGAGAGGGCTCTCGAAACTGATAGTAGAATTGAATTTGATTCAAACGTGTTGTCAGTTTGCGGGAGGATTCGACATAGAAACAATGAGGGCATTTCAGGAGCTTAGAGATAAGGCGAGATCATGCCATGTACAATGCCAAAATCAGAATTCACAGAAATTTTTATGCAGGTCTGCAAGTAGTTGCTAAGGATCTGTAGCAATCTCAGCTTCAGAATTGTTATTATCCTCCCAGCTTTTTGTTGTAAAGATTAGGGAGAAATTGAATGATATGTGTTTGTGAATATCTGTTTAGCATTTCCTCCCCCTTGATGGCTCTTGCATTTTTGCCTATTTTTAAAGTAATATATATTCTTGTTATTAGGAAAAAATATTGGTAAAAGCAAAAATATAATAAATAAAATATAAAATATATTAATTTTAACTTGCTATATTTAATTTGAAAACAAATATTATTTAATAAAAATACAATTATTAATTAATAAAATGTAAAATTAATAAATATATTTATTAAAAAATATTATTTACTTTTTATAGCACAAATTATTTTTCAAAAGTATATATTTTTTCCCTTTTGATTTCATCTTTTTTACTTTTTGGCAGTAAATAATAAAACATATACTACGCTAAACAAATACTTATAATGCCGAGTATGCACATACATACACGCAATTTACTTTTTATATTATCAAAATATTATATATTATTCAGATAGATACCCATATTTCTCAAAATGCTCAAAAGTATTACAATTAATATATATATATATTTTTATTTTCACATCTTCCAACGACAATACTATAAACTAGTAGAAGATACAATAGTATGTATCTCTATAATAATAATAATAATAATATAATATAGTTTAAATTTTATACTAAAGTAGAATATTAGGTATAATCAGCTGAAGCTGGTTAAATTGATAGAAGAAAAAAAAATGTTACATTACCCATATAAGTAGTTCAATAGATCACACCAATAAAAAATTAATAAATAGCTGTTATAGTATTATAATTTTCAAAATAAATCATATTTGATAAGTTTTTTTATTTTAAATATTTTACATAAAAAATACTTCATTATGGTTATATTTTTAATCATCTCTATATGTGTCATTATAAGATAAATATGTAACTTTACAGTAAATGATTTATTTTAAACATAGAATACCAAATTAATTTTAGGAATTTTCTGAATTATCCCCTGTTTAAAGTAATTAATTTTTTGTGCAAAAGACTATTATTCTAATAGGATATACCCACCAATCTAATCTACTTTAGATATACAGTATTTGTTAAGAATAAAAAATTCTTTTGCAACCAATATTTTATTATTATAATGTTTAGAACTACCATTTATTTAATTAATTTATTAAAATAAATAATATTTTTTTTTTTATAAAAAAAAATAGACAAAACATAATTTTTTTTTAAAAAAAATTAACCATGTAAGTTAACCAATAAGAGTATATATTAAATTTATAAAATAGATACCAATTAATGTACACCATTATATA